TAACCAAGCGCGAGAACACAGTGAACGAAAGCACGACAGAAGTGAGGCTTGTCCGACTTCTGTCGGTGACGCTGATAGTGAAAACAAAACAAAAAACAAAAGAAAAAGAAAATAGGGGGGTGGGTTTGTGCTGAGAAGCTCAAGGAAGGGGGAAGAAAGCTCATTCGCAACCTTTCTCTCCCGAATGTTAGTCTCTACGCATCACTAATCTAAATGTGCTACCTCCACATTGAAAGCCTTTCCACTGATTGCCTTTTGCTCGCTCTCTCCCCTTTCTCTCTCTCCCTCTCGCTCCCACTCTTTCTCGCCCTTTCTCTCTGTTCATCTCGCACACGCTTTTGCCTCGCACGCTCGCTCGCTCGTTCGCTCGCTCGCTCTTTTGCTTTAAGTCAACAGGGACTACTACGATATATACTTAGCAGATTGTATGATACACATTACACCGGCGTTCTCCTCTGATGTGCTGTGCATATTTACCGTTTTCGTTTGGAGCATCTCGCAATCCCGTCGAGTATATATCTTTTTTTCTCTCTCGCTCTTTCTATCGTTCTCTCTCTTTCTCTCTCTCTCTCTCTCTTTCTATAGATATATATATGTGTCTCTATCTCTCTCGCTCGTTTTCTATTTCTTTCTTTCCCCTTTCTTATTATTTCGCTTTTCTTTTTCTCTTGTCTGTCGAGACAGGTGAGCGGAAAATGAACGAGACGCCCGAGAAAGAAACCATCTCAAATTGACCCCCTTCGTTCGATCCGCGTTTTTGCTCATCACTCGACCCCTTAACGCTCTTTGTCGAACGTAATTGGCTTTCGTTGATCTTTTTCTCATGGATACATTGATTGTTTGATTGCTAGCCGTACGAAGGATATTTCGTATCGTTAGTAGTTTGGATGTTGGTTCGATTTGGGCTTCACTGAACTGGTAGTGTCGTTTGACAGTTGATTTGTTGGCTCATTTGTTGATCGTTTATTCTCGATGTTTAATTTTTTCAATAATAATTGAGTTTCTTAATGAATTGTTGACGTTCGTAATGACTCTTTTTAATGTTACAATTTTTAAATAAAGAGATCGGGGGATATTGTTAATGATATAAAATAGTTAATTGAGTTTCATTATATCTTAATTCATTGAACTACTTCAATGTTCAACTTTTTTAACATTTAATGTTTGATTCAAATGTTACTTTATGATCGTGTTAAATTAACATTTAACTGATAAATTACAAATTCAATGTTTTAATGGGAAAAGAACAAATTGCTGTTACAAAGGTTTAATAATAGAGGATTGAAATATGGTTATAAAGTTTCATAATTTGGAGCTCACTTTTGAAATGAATTTTGCGTTGAATGTTACCGAATCCAATACAGTAGAATTGAAAAATTATGTTCGACACGTTCCACTAACATTTTTTCATACTAAATTATACTAGCTTTGAATTTTGTATTTATTCGCGCAGAATCGTTCATTGTCCAAACCGCACATTTTTACCTTTTAGCACTTTTGAGTGAAATCTCTCCATTTTTACCGTTCATGTTTCCCAGGTAAAATCGCTCCATTTTCGCTTTTCATATTTTCCATGTCGAACCAACCCTCTTTTCACCACTCCGATTCCACCAGTTCAGTGAACCCCTATGCGCCGCTAAAATTCGTTACATTATTCTTCGCTTTAAACATCTGTTACAGTATTTTAATGGTAATTTGCACAAGCTGTCTTAAATAACTCGTTCCACGATATAATTACTCTTCTCTCGCTACTATACTTACAAACCCTTAATATTCATCCAAATTCTAATTATTTTCTCTTCATATATTACTTCAATTACTACTTCAGCCACATATAAGTAACTCAATTTTCCATTAAACTCTCTTGTTCAAAATTAAGCTTAAATTCACTAGCTTAAAATTAAACCTTTTTAACAACGCAAATGTTTCAATTCCCCAAAAGATTTCTCTTAAAGAAACTAGAAAAAATCGAAAGCTCAATTAAGATCAATGAAAGCATCAAGTATTCTATATTTCGATATTTGTATAGTATATAAATATTATTTAAGAATATTTATTTATATTCATGGTGAAATATATAGGTCACGTTAAGGGATCAAGTCTCCTAAAACGAACGACTCGCTCATTGTATCAGCACATGCACTATTCTAGCGTCATCGGCGATCGATTGTCCTTCGATCGTGGCCAGCACGTAAATCGCGGATACAATTTGATGGTGGCTTCTCCGCCGGCGGTTTCAATTGGTCTGGTATTCCTTAAACACTCACATATACATATATATTTCCGTACTCATATTTACAATAAGTGTACCCCGCACGGGGGCCGAGAAACTGCACGTTCACCCTCATAAATACGAATCGTTAGGCACTAAGGGCTAACACGTAGTCCTTGCACGCGTGTCAATGTCGTCTCTCCCTATTTATATTATAATAAGATCTATCTATACCTTCTATATATATACGTTTGTACATACACGTGTATATTATTGTATACAGATATAAATGTTGCTCGAGTATACTTCCACCGGAAATCACGCGAACGTCTTCAGCACACGGACCTAGCACCGTGAAAACTCGTTCCTTTCCATTATCGAAGAAAAATATGCAAAACACAATGTTCCACGGTTAACTTGCACGAATATCAAGGTGCACAGTTGTATCTCGAAACCTATCAATCAAAATAATTGTAAAAATGAAACTCATTTCGAAACAACTTAATAGTTGTTCCGTCACTTTAGAATATTTCCTATTCATTTCAAATGTGTAATAATTCGTTATTTTGAATTGATTCTAAAATACAAATAGAAAATCGTTACTAATCAGAACCGTGAACAAATTAGCAGTAATATTTCCCACTTAAAGTCTTCAGTGAGCTTCCTTTACTTCTTCCTCTAAAGTCCTCGCCTAAACGGCACATTTTTCCGAA